ACGGATCAGTTTATCGAGTCTGTTGGCATCTGCGACCCTCAGCCTGCTCCCCCAGCATGCAACAGCATAGAGGATCGCACTGACCACAACAGACTCGTAGAAGATCCTGAGCATTTTCTAGATGCTGAAGGACCTCAGTCGCCTCAACAAATAGAGACGACTCCTTCCTGTAAAGTGCTGTGGTGTTTGTAGCCCAGTCCAGTTTATTGTCCATGTGAACTCCAAGGTATTTATAGTCCTCCACAATGTCCACACTGACCTGCTGGATCTTCCTTCAGACTCAGGACTATCTCCTGTGATCAGCGTCCCATATAAGTGACTTTCTCCAAAGCCCGTTATAATCATGCAGTAAGAATATTTGATAGAACTTTAAGTTTCAATCTTCCAGGCCTGGATAAAAGAGCCGATTCTTAAATCATGAACTCACAAAATATCCCCACCGTTGGATCACACGTCTCATGTTCCTTATCTCAGACCATAAAATTATAATAAAATAAGAAATACTCGAGCCAGCTCCAGACATGTCCAAGCACAAAACCGTCTTTCTCATAGAGGAAGAAAACAATCCAAACCTCACTGATAAAATCAACCTACTGCTAAGAAAATCAACAGAAAACTCACAGGAGTTCTCCATAGAACAATATTGTTTGGGAGTTCAGATGCTGTAACATGCAGAGTTGCATTCACTGCTCCTGGATTTAATTAGTTTCTTATACTTTCTTGGTCTGAACTCAGACTTAAGTGTCGCTGACAGTCTTTCCACCTGCTGTCACTGGACCTATCAAGGGGAAATGCACCTTATTTAGTTTCTCCAGGGATTAAATCTCAATCATAGAAGATGCAGTGCTCCGAATTATACATTACACAGTTAATTCATCATTTTCACTCTGAACTGCTCCTCATATCTCAGGCTGTGTGAGGCACAGTGAACAACTCAGTCCAGGCCTTGAGCAGCCATAAACATCCCGAGGCATGCAGTCATGTGCAAGAAACTCCATGTACTCCCTTTACTCCCCAACGCTGAGGGTACGTGGCTCTGTCCATCAGCTCGTGCCCGACTGTGGCTGATCATCTGACAGCAACACTTCCTCCTAATGAGTCATTAGGCTGTTGTCTGTGTGTTAGCGATGGTGTTCTTGGTGGCTGTGGACCCAGATGCCTTCAGCACGTTAACAAGCTCTGCCTGTGTGGTTTTGGGCTGATCCAGAGTCCTGTTGGTTGGGTTCAGAATTCGGGTCATCAGTGGGTCAAGTAGCCTTCACAGAGTTCCTGCGCGTGCTAATCGGGCAGCTGCATGTGTGCTGATAACACACAGACTTGTCTGTTAACGGTCTCTTGTGCTGCTGTAGCTCTGTTGTGCAGCTAACATAACTGCTGCGAGGCTCCACTGCTGTAAACACTCCCTCCAATGCAGTGAACGCAGCCATTCTTCTATTCCACGGCTCTCAGCTCATCCACCTTCCTCAGGATCATCGTATGAGGCGAGACCTCCATGGAGCCACTCTGCTCCCACTGGCTGCTTCATTGGCTGATTTAAAGCTACAGACAGCTAACAGCAGCCCGTGTGTGACATCGACATGGATGCTTGGTCGATTGTAGGACCTTTAAGGTAATCGGGTATTTTTGACCTCGCTGCTCATGGACAGTCAGGTTTCTTCCTCCCCACTGTCACCAGGTGCTCCTCGCTGAGGATTGCAGTGTGATGCTCTGTGAGATGTTGTGAAACTGTTTGAAACGCAGTAACCCTGAGTGGAGGATCATGTGTCAGTTAACAGGTCTGTTCCAGTTCACTGTGCGCCTGGCCTCTGAGACCGAAGCTCGCTTCACCTCCGTCGAACGAATCCATCACTACATCCAGGTACTGTTGGCCCTCGCTGGGTCGTTCTACACTCGGTCCAGTTCTGCTCAGTTTTGGTTCCTGTCAGATTAAAACTCCTCCAAATTAAAAGCACTCGTAGTTTTGTAACAGGATCTGAAACGACGCTGCTGGACCGGCGGTACCTCTAACCTGGATCTCCTGGCTTTGTTCTGGTTCTGATGTGCCGTCTGTGTCTCAGTCCCTGTCCCAGGAGGCGCCGGCCAGGGTCAAAGGTCGAGCCCCTCCGCCCGACTGGCCGCAGGAAGGGGAGCTGGTGATGAAGGACGTGGAGATGAGGTACCAGGAGAACCTCCCTCTGGTCCTCAACAAGATCTCCTGCACCATCAGACCCAAGGAGAAGGTCGGCATCGTGGGCAGAACCGGATCAGGTCGGAC